TGGCGAGACTGCAACTTTTTCTTGATATAATTCCGATGTCTGGTGGAAGCCTGGGGTATCCGGTTTGCTAGCGGTGGCAGTGGTTGTGGTTGTCATGGTGGTTGCTGTGGGAGTGTGGAGAAATTGTGCTAGTAGGATAGGAGTTTAAAAGGGCGAGTTGATTGTGTTGGACGTATTGTTTAATATATTAGAGTTTGGACAAAGTTAATATCTTCGATTAGTCTCTAAGATATGATATGTGAATAATTTTATTATTCATATACAGGTGATGTAATCTTGAACTAATGACCTGTGCAATCTCATAGTACTTTGTTGAATTACTTTAACTACATGAAGTTCGTTTTCGCAATGTCATCATACAAGAATTTATTTATTTATTTATCGAATGAGAATCAATGAAGAGATATGTAGAGGATGGATCTTTCAATGTATAATTTGTTCTTTTCCCAAGGATGGAATCAGAACAAAGAAAGTTGGGATTGGAGGAAAAAGATTGTATTAACTGTACCATTACAGGAGGAATAAAGAACAAGTAACCTGGTACACGTCCAATAATGTTCAGAGGTCTTTTAAAGAAAGCCAGAATCATGGCATGCTTGGTGAGCTAACTCGACAATCTGTGTCTAATTCTCGATAAATTAGCCCTCTGAGATCAGCCACTTGAATCTTATTGAGCGTGCGACCGAAAGAAAAAATACGATATAGTGGAGATATGGTAAAGATGAGGACGTGTGTTATCCACAAGCCCTTTTTTTGCTTTTAGTGTCACCATACTCCATAATTCAGCTCAAAAGGAAGAATATATTGAAGAATATCGTGTGGTGTCCACGAGTACCTTGAAGCATTTAGCTTCTTCAAAAGCATAGCCCAAAATTGACGGACCAAAGTAGAGTAGCAAAGTGATGACAATGAGAATGCTTGTCCAAACATGAAATCAGGTCCAAGTCCCACCCCAAACCCGGTGGCGCTCGTGTCATATTTTCCATTGCAAACAACTTGTAATGAAAGGTGATCAATGTACTTATACAAGACTACGACTAACTTTGTCTTAGTGACATTGAACCGAGTAGTTAATATTTAACCTTTCTTTTCAGAATTGAAAATCCACATTTGCAAAAGAAATTTCATGATATCATCTTCAACTAAAATTTTAATCGCGGGGGCAATATTGATAACTATAAGAATATTTCTAAGAAACTCTTTAAACATGAGATATACTTTATTTTAAAGAGTTAACTCTTGAAATCATGTTTCGAAAGACTCTTTAAATTAACCAATTTAGAG